CGGCAATTGACCTATTAGTGACGAATTCCTTTTTGGTCGCCAAAATTAATGATTTTAACGACTAATTATTTTATCGGCAAAAGTATTAGTTATCTTTCCCAACTAATCAATTGGTCGCCAAAAAAAAAAAAAAAAAAAAAAAATTCCCAACTAATCAATTGGTCACCAAAAAAAAAAAAAAAAAACAAGATCAACATTTGGTCGCCAACATCCAACAAAATAAACTTGTAATGCATAATAATTCATCAAATCCATTCAATAAAATATGTAATTTGCAAGCTTTATTCAAATCAACTGAATCATGAACAATCGACAAAATATAAATCATCCAAGCCTAAACTTGTTTAATGAAAGTCATCAACTATTATAAATTTTCATCCACAAGTAATTTCAAAACTGCATATTCCTCCAATTAAAAATCCACTTGTAATCTATATAATTATCCAAGTCACATCTATCTAGCATAACAATTTAAACCATAACAATTAGTTGTTATTATGTTTTAAATTGTTATCCATGCACAGCTATCAAAAAATATACACACTAGTAGTCTACCTAAATATTTTCCATACACATTCATCCAAAAAATATAGCTACTACTCCTCCCAAATCTTTTCCATACACATCTATCCAAAAATATATATTCCTTCCAAAAATGCTTATAGTGTCAATTAGTCCTGTACAATTTAGTTTTGTGCACGAGATCATCCATTTGTACCAAAGAAAATGAGAAATAATGTCAGGCAACTTTTGGTTGAAAATATTTGCACGTAACTTTATTTTAAAACTGGACAAAAAATATTTTTTCTACATGGAAAGTAAAGGAAACATTAACAAATTAAATGACAATCAATACCATTTTGTAAATAAAACATCATTCATATGTATATATCAATTCTAACTAGTGTTCCACAATATGCCAATATTGACCTATGCTTCAACAATGGAAACTAAGTTAAAATAGTCTTTCTACTTTTGAATAGTCTATATGCTTTGGTTGAACGTTTATTTGGAGGAGGGTAAGTGTAAGAGCGGAGTGGAAGATACGAGGTTGTGATTATCAACACAAGTTCCAACAAAACAACAAACCCATCTCTCTATCAGAAGCATATTACCAACACCAGACAAAATTAAAACACTTACCTTCTACTCATATTTTTTATGCTACTTATTTTGCATTGAGGTAAGGCAAAGTGTTTTTGGGAGTCAAGGGTTGTGAAGGGTTTGAAGCTAAGCTGCTGGTGGGTCTTGTGGTTAATGTGTTTTTACCTCATGTGCTGTTATAAAATTGTAATTGTTGCTTTGTGCTACTGGGGCTACTACAATGGGATTTGTGAAGGATGTCTCAATCTTTTTGGGATATATCCTTCCTTGCTACTTGAACACAAATACAATATGAATAATATCCGTAGATCAACATATAACACCTAAGATCTTTAATTTGGGCCGTTATGTAAAGTTTGTCTTTGATCTAGTGTTGACCTGTAATAAAATGATCAATAAATGCGGTGCCTATGCCATAAGAAATAGAAAGACCAATGTTGAAATACTATGAACTCCACTTTCTCAACTGAAAAAGGAAACCCTTATCAGAAATATTGGGATATCAAACAACAAGAACCTTCATGTACAATTCTCCAAAACCCATCAAGAAGATGAGAAGCTCATCACACACATCAGTAGCCATGGCCATGGCTGTTGGAGTTCTGTTCCTAAACTAGCAGGTATGAATTCTACTTGTTATTTCTTGTCTCATTTCAAGAGAGGGATAGAAGAAGGAAATCGAATACAGGTGCTGAGCTTGGCTGATCCCTAAGAGTCTGGTGTTATTTCACTGCACTATAGGACTTGCTCAAGATCTATTTTATACTTAGTATTGTCATTTCTAGAAATCAATGACTGGATTTTGGAACAAATATTGAGTTTAACGGTGACACAAGTCACGGACAATCAAAATATCAGAAATAAGATTAAGTAGACATCATTTGTCACCCACTAATCTAACTCTGCACTACCGCAATATAAGATTCATCATTGGTTGGTGATACTTTTAATATTGTCATGTAATAATACCATTATACCCAATATTTGTTCTAATTTTATTGTTGAGATATTGCAGGCTTGCAAAGGTGCGAAAAGAGTTGCAGACTAAGGTGGATAAATTACTTGAGGCCAGATCTCAAGAGGGGTTCTTTTACTGAACAAGAAGAGAGAATCATCATTGATGTTCATAGAATTCTAGGCAACAGATGGGCTCAGATAGCCAAACACCTCCCTGGTAGAACTGACAATGAAGTCAAGAACTTTTGGAACTCATGCATCAAGAAAAAGCTCATCTCACTTGGCTTAGATCCAAACACTCACAATCTTCTCTCTCCCCATCAAACTACCACCAATTTGTTTCGGTGCTGTTTCCAATGTTTGGCCTTGAATGGGTTGTTTTCCCCTTTTTGCCTCACAATTTGTTCTCTAATATTCTCATAACACGTTTATTTGCCTTGACTTTGAACATAAATATAATGCAATTTGGTTAACACACTTACCCATTACCATGAGTAGCTATGGTGGGGACTTTGATGGATTGAGCTTTTCCAAAACTTGCACCAATGTGCTCTGAAGTCCAAAAATTTGCATCTGCATCTCCTCACGTTGTCTTGCATTCTCTGCCTCTTTTATTTATTGCTCCTCTTCCTTTTTTTTGCTCCTCCTCTTCCTTTTTTTTTCCTGCTCCTCACGGTCACTTTGCTGCTACGCATGCAGTATCTCCAACTCGGATGTAAGCCTTTTTAAGTGCTCCTCACGTGCCTGTGATGCCGCATTCGACCCAACATCACAGGACGAGGGCTTTGGTCCGACCCCAAAACCTCTCAAGTATCCCTTCTTCTTCCCCAACACCACTCTTGATATATCCTCTTGTGTCATCGGCGTTCCAGACTTAATAGACTCATCCCGCACCATTGTCATTTGTTCCTGTAATTGTGACATATAACTATTGTTAATATAAATCAAACACACCAAATGATTGGAATACTTACATGTAAATCACAGCATATAGGATCAATCCATTCTTTTGTTTTCTTATTCTGACGAGTGTCCTTGTAGAAATTGCAAATATCTGGCAACAAGCCACCGTTTTCCTTCACTTGTGATATGCCAAACACCGATATCAACACTAACATATGAAATATGTGTGGATAAAGTTAATAAAATCAATGACACACATCTCACCGCAATGCTCATCGCTGCCGGAAAAGATCGCGACCCACTACTGTGATTGTAGGGTAGCTTGCTCCTATTTAGATTGCCGGCATCGTAGCGACGCTACATAATCCAGATTATAAGGGTTTGTTACATATATAGTTAAACAATGATAAAGAGTACTGAGTAATAACTAAATCATAACATACCTTGTTTTAAGGATCTAACCATACTTGGTCAATCAAATACTTCCAATCATCGGATTGTACTCCTTTGTATGGATGAGCATAGGGATCAATTTCCACATCCACATGGTTCTCCCATTTCTTCTTCATTTTGCACTTCCAATCTTTATATAACACATAACACTTCTTTTCCACAACTTTTTGGGATAGTGAATTCTCCTCATAATTATCCTCAATCTCAAATTTATCCTACAATCAATATAAACCAAATAAGTAACTTAACTTATGTAATGTGAAAGCTGCAAATATGTTAACAGTGTGAAAACCTTAAAATGGAGTCATTTTACTAGTTTAAATGAGGGAGCTATGACCAAGACTCCCTATAATCTTTCCATGATATATGATCCACCACTTTCATAGTTCAATCTGTGAAGAAAGAATTTGCTGACCAACTTATTCATGAATCATGTTGGTACATGAATTGGGGTAATGAAGACTAATTTGTATACAATGAAGACTGATTTGTATTAACTGCATCAATGATGGAAGGACATCATACCCAGTGCAGAAGAGGTAGTTAGTTGGCAAGTCGTACCCCCAACTTTTTTGTGACCAGGCTAATTCACATGACTCGAACCCACAGCAACACAGGTGGGAGCAGACAGCACTTGCATCATGGAAGGGAGACAAATAAATAAAGTACACTTGTTATTTTCATCACTCTTATCCAAGACTAGACTTATTACTTTTTCTTTTACATGGGCATAGCCCAGAAACAGACATCAAAATTACACTCCACTAATAACATAGGAATGACTCAGATTCAAGAATTATATAAAGGAGATTTGGCCCTCCACAACTTGATTGAAAAAACAGTGACTCAAAAAGTTGCAACACAAATACAACATCATTACTAAAAAAACCAAGTAATATTGACAATAGAACACAAGCTTTATCCTTACAATTTATGAATTTTGTGAACTACAAAACAAATTGCAATTGACTACAACTTCTCTTACTCCAATAATTGGATGATTTCCATTAGAAGCCAATTTAAGAAATTGACTATGGAAGCTTAACATCTCCCATCCATACAGTCCACCTAAACTGGATTTAGCAACAACCTGACAAACATTTATAATGCGCATCTTCATATATTGCCATCGTTTAAATGGAATACCAATATACTATGTTCGTAGAAAAATAACGATTTAACCATTGACATGTGGTTGTGGGTATCAAAATAATTTTACTTGAATCGGCATTTTCTGTAATGATATGTTTATCAGACATGTATGCAGAATCCAATTTCACAGAGCCTGTGATTGTCCTGTTGGTTAACAAGGCACTCACTAAAAAGACTAAATGGTTGTCCTAAGTATGTGGTCAGGAATAATATGTCATGTACTTTATGTAGGTTGCATTGCTCTTAACTTCCATTGGAATGATAAAATAATGAAGAGAAGTTTATGGTAAGTTACTTTAAAAAAGCTGTATCAACAAAAAAAAAAAGAAGGAAACCACGGGACCTTAAACAATTTCATGTACCAACATGATTCATGAATAAGTTGGAATGGGCTGCTTATTTATAGACACCCCTCCCCAAAAAATCTAAGATGGAATGGGCTGCTTATTTATAGAGACAAGTTGAAAACAAATGAGCTTTTCATCTCTTCACTGCTTTCAAGCTTTGAAAACCAACAAAGTAAACAAAGAAAATAGATGAGCTCCTATATGCACATTACAACAGCACTGTTTCCATCATCCACACAGACTATGAAAGCAATTTAATCATACCTGGACAACTTGTACAATAGCAACTTTTGTTGCTGGATTAGCAACAGTCCAACTGTTAACGCCTTGAATGGGGCACATCCTCCTAATCTGAAGGCCAATCTCATTCGATTCTGGGGTTGCTAGCACACCTTCGAATGCATTGAATGTCTCAGTGATTGGAATGTACAACTTGTTTCCATTATTGTTGGCAACTCTTTTTGCTATTGCTTTTCCAACTGTTGGTCCCTGCACACTCTTTGATGATGATGCACCTGGTAATTGATAATATTATTAATGTATTTACAAATTACAAAATATTAACCACATATATAAATTGAAGACAGATCAAACATATTTGATTACCTGCGCTACTCGGTTGACTTTGACGAGATAGTGGATTCGTTTCAAATGGAGATGCTTCACAACTCTCAGATGCAGCTGGTGCATTACTTTCAGACGAAGATGGTGCAATAGTCTCAGATCCTGACAATGCAACTTGTTCAGATGGAGATGGTATAATAGTCTGAGATCTATCTGCTACAACACCTTCAGGAGTAGGTGTAGGTGTAAGGTCTGTGATGAGTAAATAGCACATCTTTTTCGCAGATGCCATTCTATTACAATTTAACATAATCAAAGGCCAAAGAGCACAATGAGCACAAATTTTTAATGCGTATAGACATATACATCAAGACTGATAATTAACAAATATTTAAGTAAGAAATGAACATCCATGAAGCATCTTAATTTCATATATATATATATATATATATTAATCCATGTATGTAAATTTGCAAGTGATATTGAGGACATAGAATCAAATGAATCTTAACCACGTGGCTCGTATGTATTTTGTCGTTCATAAAATCGATACATGGACACTAAATCTTATACTCGAAGCCTATATTTATCTTCGCAATTCAATAAATGAATTCACCCCTTCTTGATACTCCCTACTGCTTAATCTATTTTTTATTATCATCCAAACCTTGTCTATTTGGGCCACCTGAAAGGTTAAAGACAACCATTACGTTAATTAATCTACAAAATATTAGAGAAAGTGTAATAAACTACCCTAAACATGCTAAACGTTTATTTTGTAGGTGAAAAAAAATGAGATCATTTGGTGGTTTTATAGCCCGGTAATATGGCCCTAGAAAAGGCCAAGAAAGTGACACATGTTGAAGACATAATAACCAATTAAACTGTTGTAATACACACACCACCAGAGCTTACAATACAGTAACAGATACACAAAGACAGAAGCAACAGATAGCAACAAAAATACCAAGACAAAGACAGCAAAGTTTTAGTAGGTATATCTAATAGTTTTGAAGGTGGTCCTGCCCTTATTCTGGTTCCTGGTATACCTCATTATCATGAATGGACCAGATGATTGGAGCAGTGAGTTGAGTGTGGTGTGTTACCTATAATCAGGGTTAAAAGTATGTGAGCTACTATAAAATCTTTCCTAACAGTTTGCCATGCAGGTTGTCATTCTAGCCTTTCTTAGGGATGGTTAGTTGAGTGTGTTGTGAGCATGTAGTCTGGTGGTGGGAAGTAGTGAGCTTGTGAAATTTTGTAAGAGTGTTCCTAACTATTTTCTTGCTGGATCAGATCCGTGCTGGCACATTAGTATGGAATTCTTTGCTGAGAGACTAGTGATGAGAGGATATATATTTGGTTTGATTTATATATAGTTTTTATAACATGTTCATTTGATAAGTGATTATGCTATGGACTGTTGAGTTTGTTAGTACAAATATCAGTGAGGTTTGCCTCAAGTTATTGATCCTATTCTCAATTTATTCTGACTTTGTTTCTCTGTTCTTCTAAGCACTATTTGGTTTTCCAGGTTGTATTAATGTCTCCACTGGAATTGAGGACAGCATTAGGTGGCTTTGGTTGGAGATGTGCTTAAATTCAAGCATGTTGACCTGCTTTCAGGGCAGCATCATTTGCATCCAATTTGCTGTTTGCCAGGAGGAAGAGGCAGCAACATCCATGTCTTTTGACTTTGGACAGCCTGAAATTCCTCAGTCACGGCTGCAGCCCAAACTGGAGTGTTAATGGCATTTGAGAAACTATGAGGCTCAATCAGAGCAAGATCAGGAGCAGTAGAAACAAACAGTCACTGATGAGAGACTGATGCTTTAGGTCTGGTGACATGAGTAGAACCAGTAGAATCAACATGCCAATTTGTAAGGGGAGAAACAGACTGAGAAGCCATATAGGCAGTGTAGGATGGAGAGGATGATTGTGTAGAAGAATTGTAAGAAGCATCCATATGAAACCAACAATCAATAGCTGTATGGTTAGGCTTGCTACAGATCTGACAAAATAGAAATGAACCAGAGGAAGAAGATGAAGATTGAGATTGTCGGCCTGAGTTAGAGAATTGGATTTCCTCAAAATCAACCTCCTATTGAGGTATTATCTCCTTTATGAAACTAATTATGATTCCCTCGAGAGTTAACAGATGATTGATTTTGAAACTGAGTGAGTGTGATATATTGTAATGGAATAAGCAACACTGAGATCATAATTAGAAGACTTAGTATCTGAAACAACATACAAAGCCCCATAACAGAGTAAAATCATACAGGAGCTGTGGTCTTAAGTGACAGAAATTCTGCAGGAAGTCCATTCAAGGTTATGACAACATCCATTGGTGATAGTAGGATTAGCCAAAGTTTTTCCAGAAGAATCAAGAATGGTTGCAAATGGAGGAACAACAGATCCATCAACATAGCTCAGAAGATTCGGGTCTCTAAGTATATTATGGATTGGCGCATCCATACAATGTAATTCGTAATTGGTTGGAGATACATTTTGATGAAGAGAAATCCAGATACAAATAAATGATCAGGTTTTTTTTTTTTTTTTTAATCTGGAGCAAATATGCATCCATTGGAGATAGTAGGATTAGCCAAAGTTTTTCCAGAAGAATCAAGAATGGTTGCAAATGGAGGAACAACAGATCCATCAACATAGCTCAGAAGATTCGTGTCTCTGAGTATATTATGGATTGGCGCATCCATACAATGTAATTCGTAATTGGTTAGAGAGACTTTTTGATGAAGAGAATATTAAATTGACAATTTATGAGTTTGAAAGGAATAAGTTTCCAAAGCTTGATGCATTTTTTTATGGTCAGTGGTTGGATAGAACATTCAGTTAAGATTCACAAAGTTTCCAAAGTTTACATTCAGCAGATTATATCTTCCTACCTCCATTTAGATTTATTCTTGAACCTTGGTCCAACTACATAATAATTACCGTGAAGCTCAGCTATCACACATTTGTACTGATCATAGTATCCTAAATTAAAGTGTACTTCAACTTTTTCTCCCAGATTGACTAAACATATAAAGATTTATGAGTTTTTCTGTCTATTAATAAAATAAATGACAACATAAAGTTGCAGTTAGTGATCTTTTGCACGTATAGAATATTAGATCACAGATGAAAATAAATTGGTAACTCTGATAGTCTGCAGCAATTTAGAATATTTTATCATTCAGTCGAGTACTCTTGTGATCTTTCTGTTATTTTCTTCTTCAACAATGTTCTATTTTGATACAATGACAAGAATACACAAACATAAAAAATTAACTCCCAAGTATGTAAAACTTCAGAGAGAATGATATGCTCGGGAAATTGGAATTTGACAGAGTTAAACATTAACAACATACAACCAACTCAAACAGAAATTTGTCTTCTTACTTAATTCCAACATCTAGAACTTTTCACCCAAACAAACCCCTGACACTGTACACCTTGATCACCAGGGAGAAACCACAACAAAAATGCAATTGTGAAGCAACAAAAGCCTTTATGCGATATTTTTATCTAATGAACACTTAAAAGGCCATGTCAATGCATTTTAGAGAAGCAGTCACTTGCAAATGAAAATAGAAATAGCAATTATTTCTAGCTCGTTGGGGAAAAACAAAGTTTACTCCAGCTATGAGTTTTGTTAGTGGTAGTAGGGAGTCTTGGGACTGAACTTGCCTCTCGCTCAAGCAATCACTTTGAAGTATAAAACAATGTTTTACGGAAGTAAAAAAAACACAAAGATATTTCCCAGCAAAAGAGGAAAAAATAAAAATAAAATGCTTCTTTGCACAACAAAACAAGTTTCTGATTTTCTTCTGCTTTATATTGCAAACTAACTTTTGCTTGACTGTTCAACTTTTCCTTTCCAAAAGAAAACATATTTTGTTTCCAAAAAACTATTACTGCTCTACATACCACAGGTTTATTCAGAAATGGAGGGCCAGTGTTTTCTTTCCAATGCAAATTCTGTTTTCAACATTATAATGCAGGAAAGACAAATTTCCAAAATCAAAGGAAAATGATCTTTGTGACTGTCCTATAAAATAATGCATACAATCCCAGTCACAATGAAAATGATCTGTCCTATAAAATTATTAAAAACTAGTTTGGGGAAAATAAATAGTAAACATATATTTCTAAATTTTAAAAAAAAAATTTCACACTAAAAAAAGAAAGCAATATTACAAGCTATCCAAGGAATCTCAACGAAATGTTCTCCTTTTGAGAACAACATTCAGAACCTAACTACATTGTTTACTATCCAATGCTTGAGGTAAGAAATGTCAACCATCATTGTTTACTATACAATGCTTGTTGAAAGAAAAAATTCTTCAAATTACTTCACACAAATCATGAGAAACAATTGATAGTGAATAATTTTCAAAAGTCATAAATTAAAATTTTATTGTCATTTTGAAATTTTAAATTAAAAAGTAAAACCTCCCTAGACATGCAAGATTATTTTCTAGGGTTCTGTAAAAGAAGAGTGTGAATAAGAGGATTAAATAAGTTAGACTTCCTTATATATTTAATATATAGATCTTAAGTAGGTCAATAAACAAAGATATTAGCTTTAGCAAAACCAAATATATATATATATATATATCTCAGAGAATTACACTATTACTCTAATACCAAATCCAAGGCTACACAAGATCTAAGAAAACAAATGTAGCAAAACCATGGAGTGAGACTGAGAAGCCTCCTGAAAACTAGCAAAATGAGGGGTATTGCCCAAAATCTGAGAAATAATCATCAAAGGGAAGCCAATAAATTATTTACTATTGCAATCATAGAATCAAATTTCAATTCAAATAATCAGAACACATGAGAATACATACACAATCAATGAGCAGTCATGCATGCAAATACATTCACAATCAATGGATTAGGGCTTTGAAACTAATGAGAGAGAAAGGAAAAAGAGGGCGAAAGAAAATTTTACCAGTAAAATCAAACCAATTTACAACATTAAACCCATAAAGCTCTAGAAATCAAACCAGTTTAAGAAATCAACACGAAATTATTTAGTATAAATCATATAAAACACTATAGCAAGAGTTAATAGTTGGGGAAATAGAAGAAAGGAGAGAGAGAGAGAGAGAGAGACCGAGAGACCGAGAGCGAGACATAGAGCGCGCAACCGACACAGAGAGGGAGAGAGAGAACCTGTGATCTGCGGCGGTGGTGGTGGTGATTTGCGATTGCGATGGTGGCGATGTGTAATGTACGGTTAGCTACGGTGGTGAGGGATTGTGCTGAGATGAGGTGGAG